GTTTCGGGCCTAGACCCTTCTTCCGAAAGGCCCGAAACGTCAGCTATCCTGCTCTTCTGATGCTGCTTGGCCTGCTGTGTTCATCCAGCTCTGCACCTTGTTATCTCAGATTCTCCAGCATCTGCAGTTCCTACTATCTCTAGAGCTAGAAATGTTTCGGAATGAAGCAACAAATTCTTACAGAAGCATTGTTATCAATGTGAAGAATCATTGAAAGCGCTAAACTTGTGATATCACTGCATCAGCAGTAAATCCTAATTACAAACAAAATGATAATTTTAGCTGTATACAAAAGTAATACCACTCCCTGGAAGTCCGCACTATGTTAACAATAGAGCAGAATTCTACAGCAACAGAAGAGCAGGAGAAGACCACTTAGTGTCTCAAGCCTGTACCCCAAGTTGGTTAAGTTATATATCTTATGTCAACACAGTACGTTCTAAAAGAGACGGTATTCTTTGAAGCCGGAAAAAGATGGAAGAAATCAACTCTGAATGCACTCAGCTATTTGCATTGAATAAAAAAAGTCACTGTAACCTACTGTGCACATCATCCATGGAGGAGAATGAGTTCATTGTCACAAAAGTTAGTTACCTTGTTTATTTGTTTCATATTCAATGATTTTTTTCTGGATTGAGAGTAGTTCAGCTTCCAATTCTGTTCATACTTGTACCACTTTACTCTCTTGGTCAGAATTGACTTTTTAAATCCTGCAGTCTAACATTTTGATTCATTCATGGGTGTAACTGGCAAGGCCAACATATACTGCCCATCCCTAATTGGCCTTGAGAAGACTCTGGACAGTATACAGTTTTAAACTTGGCTTCCATTGGTCATGAATTTTAAAAGAATCACTACTCCAATGGGTTTACCAATTAGCTGGCCTAATAAATTCTTGTGGAAATAACTCTCTGGACCTTTGGCATAGCATACAGCTGAGTTTACATTGCCATGAAAAAGCTGCACTGTTGCGCATAGAATTTCACAACAATGTTTTTTGAATTAAAGAAAAGTGAATTTTTTTAAACAATTTGTTTGCATCTCCTTCAGTAACAATAGGGAAAACTTGTTTTCATTTTCACTTTTATTTGGTCTGTGTATAAAATGGAATACAAATTCCAAGCAATGCAACATTGAAGCAATCAGTTGTGAATTATTCATGAAATATTCAATGATCAACCAGGGATTATACTCATTATTCTGACAGATGAGCCAAAATAAGTAGGGGCAAGGAAAGCTGCTACCATTCAGAAATGTCTGACTAGAACATGGCTTCCTTTCTGATTGACATTCTGCACAGTATGGGTCACAAGGAAGTCAAAGATAATGCGATATGTATTACTGACTCCACAAATGATACAGTTTGTCATTCATATGTCTTCTGTGAGCTGTATTAAAATTGAAAAAATTATCCTGATGTGAACAATTTGCTTCAACAGCCTCGTGTTCTAGAGATTGCTAAAGATGTAAATGAAGTCCCAGTACATGGAGCTATAATGCTCTGCCAATTCAAAATTGTATTTTTTTCTCTAAACTATCAACAGAGCTCTTAAATAAAAAAAAAATCCGAGTGATTAAATGAATTAGAGCGTCAGCTTTCTAAAAAAATACAAAATTTAGGGTTAACTGTTTAAAAATGCATGTATTCTAGATCTCAAAGGGCATGTCCGTTCTATTCTAATCTGCATTGGATGTTCTGCTTCAACAGCTAGATAAATATTTATCAATGAACTTAATTCATTTCTGGTAAGTTGGCACTTTAGGGCCATCTGAATATTAGCTTGGAAGAACTGGGGATAAAATGATTCTGTAAATAACATCATTGAGATCTGACATCATTGTATTGCACTGAAAAGAAAATGGCAGTCAAACTACAGGACAAAATAGAACAAATAATTTTAAATATGGCTCTGTTTGTTTAAGTGGTAATATTCTCCACAAATGTATTTAAAGTACAGTATGAATGGGGTAAAAATGAGCAATTATCAAGAAGTGCAGTCTAAGTTTCTGCATGTGTTAGTGGTGCATCAAGACTCCTAATGGCCCTTCATCTGTCAGAGGCTCATTTCAATTCATAACTATGTTGGAAATCCTTTCTACATCAATATAAAGCCAGATTTTTCTTTCAAATATATTTTAGTTTGACATTCTGAAATACCTCTGTGGCTTATCCCATGTTCCTGTCATTTGGAGAAGTGATTTAATGTACAGCATGATAAAATTGTTTAAATAATTTGCCAATTGTGCTCTAATTAGATGTTCCTCTGCATATTGCAAGTGAAAATCTGAAGTTGACGTTAGATAATGAAGAGAAATAAGTGTATAAGTGTACAAACCATTTTCATTTCAGGTTAATGAGCATTGCACAGCAAGAACAATGGATTCTGAATAATTTCTTCTGTCACTAAATGAATTAACATTTGAATAAAAAAGCATTTCAGAAATGATTGACATTTGCTTGAGAAGTTAAGATGTGTAAATCAACCTGGAAAGGCAACAATTCATTTCCTGAATATTGTATTAGGCATGACAAGTTATCACTGTTTTGATTAGAAATAAAACAAACTGCAGATGCTGGAATCTAAGGTTGACAAACAGAAGGCTGGAAGAACACAGCAGGCCAGGCAGCATCTGGAGGAAAGGAGCAGTCCCTTATTTGTGGAACAATATACTGATATTGGAGGAATTCTATTGAGAGTTCAGTCAGCTGATAGACAAACAGAAGGCTGGAAGAACACAGCAGGCCAGGCAGCATCTGGAGGAAAGGAGCAGTCCCTTATTTGTGGAACAATATACTGATATTGGAGGAATTCTGTCGAGAGTTCAGTCGGCTAATAGACAAACGGGAGGCTGGAAGCCAGGCAGCATCTGAAGGAAAGGGGCAGTCAATGCTTCGGGTGTTCTTCCAGCCTGCTATTTGTCTGCCACTGTTTTGATGTTTATTTTAGCCATTAATTTGCTATTTTGCTGATCTTGAATGATGGCTAGCATGTAACTTATGTATTTGGTTATTTTCGTAAAGTTAAACTATAATACCATTGATAGCATACTCTCCTTAGTATTTGGCTGTGAAATATTTTTAATCAGCCTATTTAGACAAGTTATGACACACCTATGGAGCAGGTGAGAGTTGAATCTTCAGCTTCTGGCTCAGAAGTAGAACACTACCACTACACCAATGGACCCCTAAAGTCTTTGGTTGATGTACTGTCACTGATTAAAATTAAAAGGAATTAATCTAACTGGGTGATCTTAAATTGTATGGAACAGTACAGCATTTTCAGGCAACATGATACCATATATTGGATATATGCTGAAAATATACATGTTTAAGAGATTGCAGGGTCCTAAATATCTTCTAATTCAGCTTTTAATGTGGAATTTTCATAATTATATTTGTTAGTATTAATTCCCATTAATTGTCAAAATGACAATCGATCTTTAACCCTTAAGTATAAAATTGTTTCTCAATTGTGAGAGTCAGTGACTGATGTCTGCCACAATAGTTATGACCAAAAAAGAAACAGACCAAAAATAGAATAAATTGAGGTAGTAGAGATATTGGTGTGATTTCCTCATGACATTTCAAGCCTTCAGATCTCTTCTATGTGACGGTACTGCCTTGTACCAGCTCTGATATGTGATGTTCAGCACTGATTGTCATCGTGCTGGTTATAATTGTTTGTATTCTTTTACTTTTCTGCAATTAGACTATAATATAAATTGTGTCAAATCAAAACCTTAAATGAGTTGAACCTTCTGACATATGATCTTACCTGACTGCAGGAATGTTGCTCATTTTAATTCACACTTTTTTCAGGCTAAGCTTAGACATTATAGAAAGCAAACGTTATTAGATTGAGTCCTGATTTTATATTTGGCTATCTCTAACAGTCTGTCAGCCATCACCACTCTCTTTGTTCAGTACCTTGTATGCTTCAGAACTCCTGACATTCTGTTTTATTTTTTGGTAACTATGATTTCAGGAATTCAGTTCATCTTTCACACTTTTCATTTGGAAAGTCCCCATGACTATTTGCTGATCACTGAAAACGGAAGTTTTGCTCATCCTTTGAAAAGACTCACGGGATCTAACCTGCCACCTTCAGTCAGTGCTGGACTCTTCGGGAACTATACAACACAGATCCGATTCATTTCAGACTTCTCCATGTCATATGAGGGCTTCAACATAACCTTCACAGGTATAACACACTGTACATTTTTTTCCTGTAGATATGCGAGTGTTTCTCATTTGGCCAATTTGAAAGTAAACACTACCATGTGCCAATTGGAGTGCGCAGACCTGGGAACATTGCTCCCAAACATGACCAAATCATATATCACATCGTTCACCAGCAAAGGAAAGCTCAGTCTCTGTTTTTGCCTGATAAATATTTTGGTGACTCAAGCTCAGAACAACATCCTTCATTACATCAGTGTTTCCCTGCCCCCTTCTCTAATTCCTATAACGACCAGTCTTATGAGTGGGATTGCAAATTTGAAATGAACTGTGTAACACAGTGCTGTGGGCTTTTGTCCACTCGGGATTGCTGATGGTCATTAGGTTAATTTCATGTAGAACTCTTTCAGGAAGAAAATAGACACACAACAGTTGCCTAAGTCTGAGCACAGATTCCAAAATTGAAAGCAGAGAACATGCTGTAATCATGGGTTCCTAAAATAAATTAAATAGTTAATTACCTTTTCTAAACATGTGGAATTCTTTGAGTTAATGTTTCTTTTCTGGAGTACTTTCGGATTGAACAGTTTGGGCAGCCACATTTACGGCATAAATCTTCAATTTTCTTATTGTGTACCTGCCACCTACCATAATGATTCCCTAATTTGCTCATTCTGCTTCAGCTGCTTTCAGCCTGACAATCATCTTCTTCTGTAAAAGAGTGACCCATTTTGTTCTTTTATCTAGAATATGACTTGGAGCCTTGTGATAATCCCGGTATCCCACCATTCAGTAGCAGAACTGGTCGTCGATTTGGAGTTGGAGACTCCCTTACGTTTTCATGTTTCCCGGGGTATAGACTGGAAGGTGCGTTCCGGATAACTTGCCTTGGAGGTAGACGGCGTGTGTGGAGTTCGCCTCTTCCAAGGTGTGTTGGTAGGTGGTCGTGAGCTTTCATTTCACTTGGGTTGAAATTTCAACACTAGTTTGGAGCTGTGCAAAGACCTAAACCAATGCATTTATTGTACAGAAAGTACATTTTGAATTGGTGTAATGATTAATAAAATATGCAACAGTAAGAACAGTGAGTGCCCAGAATTGTCCCCAGCTTTGCCTATCCTCTGATTAAAGAGTAGTATCTTTTCAAGGCCAAGAGTTTCTGCCATGGCTCTTCATGTGATAGAACAGGACAATTCTTGGGTTGGAGATATGAGTGCAGGGTTTTCTTACTTTTCTGCTACCATGCTACCTCATTATTAAGACATATGACTCCAAGAATGATGCAGTTTGATGAATAATTTGTCACCATTTTGAACGACTGGTAGCAAACTCCTCCCAGTTGGTAATGCCAATTTTTGCTTTAAGGAATGCTTCAGCGTGATTTTGGAGTATTATATTTGTTCTTCTCTGGACTTGCGGAAATTTGCGAGTTGACAGGAACAGGACTTGGGAGGATTGTAGTTTTTTGCCATTTGGACACAGCCTCCAGTGCATTGAAGAAGTTTTTGCAAGAGTTTTGCCCAAATGCTCGTGGAACTGGCTTCAAGAATCACACTAGAGACAACACAGTATGGAGCTGGAGGAACACAGCAGGCCAGGCAGCATCAGAGGAGCAGGAAAGTTAACATTTCAGGTCAGGACCCTTCTTCAGAATATAATCACACTAGTGTTTGTGAACTGTCCCATTGAATACAGAGGGTATGCCCAGAGAAGCATTGCTGGTGAGATTTTTCCAGCTCTTTTGTGTGCCACTAATACTTAGTTCAGGCCTCTCATTTGTATAGGAGTGTGGTGATGACAGTTGCTTGGTGCATTTGAACTTTTTTGATTTGCACATAGCATTGTTGCGAAAGATCTCAGCCACAATTTATAGCTGTTAGCTCAGCTAATGCAATACTGGAGCTCGTTGTCAATGATAGATTTTTTATAGAGGTGGTTGGCAAGATATGGAAAATGCTTAATATATTCTAGAATCTCCTCTTTGACAGATAGGGAAGATGGAACAGATGGCTGACCGTCTGTGGGAATTCCGAGTTTCCTGTATGCAAAATTGAAGAGATTGAAAGTGGTTTGCAAATCTTTTGAAGAGCATGGAATGGCATTGCAATCACCTTTCATACCAATCACATATGTCGATGGTGGCCAGTTTACTTTGGGCGTGGAGGCAATTGACTTAAACTTCCATCGACGTAGTATTTACTCATACACACCAGAAGGTAGTTGATCTTTGCTGTGAATAGTCACTGATGGGTAGATCATAAATCGTGTAAGAGTTATCACCGAGCCTTTCTTTTATTTTTACTTTTTCATGTGATGCGGGCAACACTAGCTCGTGTATCTTGTCCAACTCCAAGTCGCCTTGACCATGTGGTTTATTTGGCTATTGCAGAAAGCAGTTAAGAATCAACCACATGACTGTGGATGTGGACTCACACATCAACCACATTAGGTCGGAATGGCAAATTTTCTTTGCTGAAAGGCATTATCGAACCCAATGGGCTTTTACAGCAGTCAACGATTGTTTCATGGTCATCATACTGAAACTAACTTTCAGTTCCAGACATTGTTAACTGAACTTATGTCCACTAGCTGCCAAAGTGGGATTTGAACGCAGATTTGTCTTTGAGCATCAGCCTAGAATACTTCTTCTGACTACGAATACCAGCACCCCCTCTCCCACCCCTGCCACTGATTATTGAAACTGTCTCTGGTTCGGAAACCTGGAAGGAACAATGTGTTGTTGCACTTGCCCTGTCTTGCGCTGTTGAATTTTTCACATCAGGCTTGCCTTGTGCCAGCCAGTGCATTTGTAAGTGGGTGATTGTGAAAGGTAATGGCTGGAAAGTCGTCAGAAATGATTTAACAGATAGAGAGGACAAAATCCTACATTGTGTGTCATTTTGACTCTGGCCAAGCACCAATTAAAGACTAACATTACTTAAGGACTGCTTATCCTCTCCCATCTCAACTGGGGGCTGCATGGTATGGGCAATGTAATGAATCAATGCTAAAATGATGATTTAATGTTGAGAAAAAATGCTATTTGTTTTATTCTTTGCACATTCCTTACTAAAGGATATATGTTCTTCTGAATGTTCATGATAACAGAAAAAATGGATGTAGTGAAGATCATCAGAAAACTGTATTGAACAATATTTATTGCCGCAAGTGCTAGTTTTACTCAGATCCTGAAATGGATAAACATGAAAAATAAATGCTTGCTAAGTTCTTGTTAATTTATTTTGATGATCTTTTAAAGGATTGAGTTAAGAAGTGCAGGCTGGCTGGCTGGAGGAAGGTAATGAAAGACTGTTTTCTGAACTATTATTCAAAACAGTCACCAGTAGTGATATTGGAACAAGGAAAAATGAATTATTAACCTGTGATAAAAGTCAAATTACTGCAGGAAAACAAAAAAAGTAATCAGTCAGTTAAAGACATATTTGATTCTGATGAAAGGACAATGCTTGAAATGTTAACATCACTTTTCTCACTAAGTTCATGTCTCTCCTTGGTGGATTGAACACCAGTGTCTTAAGTTTTACGATTATGCTAGCAAAGCAAATAGTAGGGCCTTATACTGACACAGTTTTGACAATAGCCTGTAATATTGAATTTTGCAGTTCCTGTATGAATGAAATAGGTTGGGTTTTGTATGAAACATTATTCAGCACACATGGACTAATGGGTTACATACCACAGACCAAATTAGGAAGTCAAGTGCATTCCTACTGATCGCTATTTAAACTCAAAACAAAGGAGGGAGGAAAGGTGATAAGGAAAAGTGATAACAAAAGCTTCAAATTCACATTTTAAAAAAATACTTCTCAGTGTTAAAATGTTTACTGCATTCTACAGAATCATAGAATCATTGAGTCCTACAGCAAGGAGACAGACCCTTCAGCCCAAGCAGGTCCATGCCAACCAAAATATCCTTCCATGCCAACCCCATTTCCCTGCACTTGGCCCATATCCTTCTAAACCTTTCCTATCCATGCATTTGTACAAATGCCTTTTAGATGTTGTTAATGTACCCGCCTCACCCACTTCCGCTGGCAGTTCATTCCATATGTAAACCACCCTCTGGGTAAAAAAGTTGCCCTCAGGTTCCCATGTATTCTTTCCCCTCTTACCTTAAACTGATGCCCCCTAGGGCTTGATTCCCCAACCCTGTGAAAAAGAGTTAGTTCATTCACCCTATCCATGCCTCTCATGATGTTATATACTTCTATAAGATCCCCCCTCAGTCTCCTATGCTCTAAAGAGAAAAGGTCCTAGCTTGTCCAACCTCTCCCTATAACTCAAACCCTTGAGTCCTGGCAACATCCTTGTAAATTTATTCTGCACTCGTTCAAGTTTAATAACATCCTTCCTATAGCAAGGTGACCAAAACTGAACACAATACTCCAAGTGTGGCCTCACCAATGTCCTGTACAACTGTGACATAACTTCCCAACTTTCTTTACTTAATGCCCTGACTGATGAAGAGCAGTGCACCAAAAGCCTTCTTCACTGCCCTGTTTACCTGCAACTCCACTTTCAGAGAACTGTGCACCTGAACTTCAAGGTCCCTGTGTTCCATTACACTCCTTTAGGCCCTCGAATTAACAATGAAACTCCTACCTTGATTTGATGTTCCAAAATGCAACACCTCACGCTTATCCATTTTAAACCCCATTTGCCATTTCTCGGCCCACTTCCCCAGCTGATCAAGATCTTGCTGCACTTTCTGATAACCTTCCTCACTGCCCACGATACTGTATATTTTAGTGTCAGCTGCAAACTTACCAGTCATGCCTCCAAATCATTGATATAGATAACAAACATTAATGGGCCCAGCACCGACTCCTGAGGCACCCCGCTAGTCACAGGCCTCCAGTCCGACAAGCATCCTTTCACGATTACTCTCTGTTTCCTACCATCAAGCCAATTGTCTATCCAATTTGCCAGCTCTCCCTGGATTTCATGTGATCTAACCTTCCAGAGCAGCCTACTGTGTGGAACATTATCAAAGGCCTTACTGAAATCCATACAGACTACGTCTACCACCCTGCCCTCATCAACCTTCATGGTCAATTCATCACAGAACTCAAACAAATTTGTGAGGCATGATCTCCCATACATAAAGCCATGCTGACTACTCCTAATCAAACCCTGTCTTTCCAAATGCATGTATATCTTGTCCCTCAGAAACTTCTCAAAGAACTTACCCGCCGCAGATGTTAAGCTCACTGGTCTATAATTCCCAGGTTTTTCTTTGCAGCCCTTCGTGAATAAGGGCACAACATTCACTACCCTCCAGTCTTCTGGGACCTCACCTCTGGCTAACAATGATGCAAATACATCAGCCAGGGCCCCTGCAATTTCTTCTCCAGCCTCTTGCAGGGTTCTTGGATATATCTGATCAGGACCAGGAGATTTATCCACCTTCATACATTCTAATACTTTCAACACCTCCCCTTCTATGATATGGACTGTCTGCAAGATATCGTCACTAACTTCCTCAAGTTCCCAAGTCTTGTCTTTCTCCACCATAAACACAGAAGAGAAATATTCATTGAGGACCTCGCTCATCTCTTGCGGTTCCACACGTACATATCCACTTTGGTCCTTGAGAGGTCCTATTCTCTCTAGTTATTCTTTTTCCTTTGGATTCACCCTCATCTTCTCAGCCAAAGCTATCTCATGTCCCCCTTTCACCCTCCTGATTTCCTTCTTCCGTAAACTCCTGTGTCTTCTATGTACCTCCAGGGATTCCCTTCATCCCACCTGTGAGTAACTGAGCCACGCCTCATTTTTTCTGGTCAAAGCCTCAATATCTCTTGTCATCCAGGGTTCCCTACTCCTGCCAACCTTGCCCCTCACCCTCACAGAAACCTATAGACCTTGAACTCTAGCTATCACACTTTTAAAGGCCTCCCATTTGCTGGAGGTCC